ATACCTCCCGCATTGTATCAGACAGCCTTTGCTGGGTAACACACTGAAACTCGGTAGCTTTCAGGCAACGATCATGCACCTGTGCGTGTTGTGGGGTTCGGCTGACTGTGCCTGGGTGGGGCTGGGTGCTCCAAGCCCCGCGGGTGGGGCTGCTCTGTTCCGTGTCTCACAGCTTCTTTGGACCTTTGAAGCCCAATTTAAATATGCATTTTGATCAATGTGTTTTAGTATAATTGGCTTCTTTTGTAATCTTATGTATGTTATTTTATGCGTTTAGCCCCACCTCAGCGCTTGTCACACTGCTCTGCCAGGGCCCAGTTCCTTGTCTGTGTCCCCAGGGGACTGTGGGCTCCCTGAGGGCAGGGACTGTGTTTATGTTTCTGTTTTTAATTTTTTATTATGAGAAATTTCAAACATACATGTAAAGGGACAGGAGAGCACCATGAAACACCATACACCCGCCACCCCGGATTACACAGACTCTGTCCTCTCTCCTTTTGATTTTTTTCTCTGCTAAACTATCAGAGAGCAAGTTATTCCCTCTGTGTATTTCATTGTGCTTCTCTAAGAAACTCAGTAACTAGCCCTGGCCAGTGTGGTTCAGTGGATTGAGTGCTGGCCTATGAACCAAGGGGTCACTGGTTCGATTCCCAGTCAGGGCACATGCCTGGATTGTAGGCCAGGTCCCCAGTAGGGGGTACATGAGATGCAACCACACATTGATATATCTCTCCCTCCCCCTCTCTAAAAATAAATAAATAAAATCTTTTAAAAAAGAAACTCAGTAAGTAGCTTTTAAAGCAGTGAATCGTGAATCACTGTTTGTGGCAGAGCTGTCTATAACAACCCCAACTGGAAACAAGCTTGTTACCTAACATCTGAAAGCAAGGGTGTAACTAGTCAAAGGAAGCACCCATTAAGATGATCAATGGGAAGAACACAAGGGGTGGCCAGAACACAGCCAGGTGGCCAAACGTTTGTGATCAAGAAAAACCCAGAAAGGCAAAGAGCCAGGTCCAAGGTGGCCTTTGCACTCTCATTTGGCAACCAAGCCAGAAGACCAGCTCAGGTTCCTGGACAGAACGGAGGAGGCCAAAAAGGAAGGTGGGGATGAGGATGGTGAGGTGCTGGGCAAAGCTGTTATTCTCCCTTCAGAATATTTTTCAGTGTCCTTGACGTCACCTTTCCAAGCTGTTATCTACCAACCAGAGCTGCTGCAGCAGCAACAGCGGCCTCGGCATCGCTGGAATCTGCGGGCTCCGCAGGGGAGCTGGCGGGAGGCACTGAGAGCCCGCCGCAGACCTCATGACAGGGGCGGGCCTCCCTCCTTCCCAGCCCTCCCCAGTTCCCGGAAGGAGCCTGAGGGACTATGTGGCTGTTTTTTCTCCCTCCTGGGGTCTAGGGTGTGGAAAGTTCGCTGTGCAGTGGCTGGGAGTTATCTGATGTTCCAGCCACGTGTGCACTTCAGAGTGCCCCGGGCCTCGTCTCCCCAGGCGGCCCACCCATCTGGATGCCTGTGATAGGGCCTGGAGCTCACTCAAGCTGTTTGAATGGTTTTCAAGGTCAGTAGTGGTGGTATCTTTGTTCCTCTGGAAAAAGCCTATTTTGGATCGATTGCAAACCGGTGAGACCCATAGGCTCGTTCTGGGAAAAACAGGATCCACTTCACAGCTTGTTTCCCAGGCATGTTATCCCCAGAGGAGACAGGGCCCTTTGCACACTGACACCAAACGTGCAGCTTTCCCACAGCAAGCAATTCTCCAGTTCTCTGCAGATGCCACCTGGGTGCCCTGTGATTTAAATCATTTTGGCACTAACTGTTGTTGGTGGAAATTAGGCTCTTCCAGGGGACGGCAAGAAAAGCACTCCAGGGACCCAGAAAGGGAGCCGTGGACTTGTGGTAAGGTTTATTTAGGTGGAAAGATGCCCCTGTGTCCCATCTCTGTCCACCCTGCCATGGAAAAAGTCCAACCGTGTCTTCAGCAAGGCCAAAAAAAGTGTCCATAGTTTCTGTTTCATATTAAAGCCTAGTCGCATGGAGCCCACGCCATCTGCTGCAGGCCTCGGGTGAGAGAGCACATGGACAAACGCAGGGGGTAAATGCGGGTCACAGAGGGGGCTGCTTTGTTCCTTTGTTCCCCTGGGGTTAGAATCAGGAGCTTTTTCAAAATAAGCAAACAACTTTTCAAGCCTTCTCTGGCTTTTGCTGGTTCCACCCCCTATAGTTGGACTGACAGGCCTCTATGGTCAAGCACCTCCCCGTACGCCATTTTGACTTCTATTGCGCATGCGCTTTCCTGCCCCTGCTCCCCCAGAAACCCGGTACCTGAGTGCGGGCAGTGATCTGACGCTCCTAGGGTTAAGTCTCCTTGGTGGTAGTCCCCTGGAGTGGGAATGAGTCTATAAATGCTATAGTTTCCTGGCTAAGAAGCAGGCTTTATGCTCCCTAATTTATTAAGGTCGATATCTAATTCCTTTTGTTTCCTTCCTTATTAATAGTTAGCGAACTATCTACAGTAACATAAGTACCCAGAATTAGTACAGACCCCACCAGTTAAGGGCGGATGCGCCCTATTCAGACACCAGTTGCGAGTAGTGGATCCCCAGGTTACCCACATTCTGTTCAATTTGGCTACAAATCAGGGGTTCCCATAACCCCCTCCTCAGATTCCATAATATGCTATAGGGGCTCACAGAACTCAGGGGAACACTTTATTTATTACTGCCAGATTATTATAAAGGATATGAACAAACAACCAGCTGAAGAGGTAATAGAGTACTATCTGGGAGGGTCTACAGAGTGCAGGGGCTTCCGTCCCCACAGAGTTTGGGTTGCGCCACCCTCCCAGCAAGTGGATGCCTTCAACAAAGTGGAAACTTTCTAAATGCCTTCACTGGGTGTTTATAGAGGTTCCATTGCAAAGGCACAATTGACTAAATCCCTGGTCACTGGTGATTAATTATTTCCCATTTCCTCTTTTCTCCCCAGAGGTGGGAGTGGGGAGTTGGGGGTGGAAAGTTCCAACCCTCTAATCACGTGGTTGGTTCTTCTGGCAACCAGCCCCTCCCCCATAACCTGATGTCCCTGATGGGTTTCCAGCCACCAGTCATCTCATTAACATGAACTGCGGGATGGTGAAAGGTGATGGTGTTGCCATCCTGTCTGTGACTGGAGGAAGAGAGTGAGTCAATTCCAGTCCAACGACCTCCCTCTTCACCCTTCTAAATCATCAGCTCTTCTCTATCAAGCTTTTCCTTCAGCATTTAAACAGGCTCAAGTTTCTTCCAGCCTTAAAGAAAATATCGTTCCTCAACCCCATGTTCCCTTCATTTCCTCTTCCCAGTCCACCAGTGGGGAGGAACTGCCTATTCTCAAGGACTCCTTGTCTCCATTCCCAACCATTCCCCAACTTTCCGCATCTGAATTCTGATCCTACCATTGTACCTGAATTGCTTGGGCAATTAGCTAAAGACTGCTACACCTAATGGACTTTCTTCAGTTTTTTTCTTCTTCTTAAAAAAAAAAATACACACACACACACACATGTATATATATATTTACTTATTTACTTATTTGTAGAGAGAGGGGAAAGAGGGAGAGAAACATTGATCTTTGGTTGCCTCTTGCGGGCCCCCTACTGGGGACCTGGCCCACAACCCAGGCATGTGCCCTGACTGGGAATCGAACTGGTGATCCTTTGGTTGACAGGCCAGCACTCAGTCCACTGAGCAAGGCCAGCCAGGGAGTTACCTTCTAACTGGACCTCTCAAAAGCATCTCACATTGTTGCCTACACCCGCCTTGGACACTCCTCACCTTGGTTTCTGTGCTGCCTCTGCTCCACCTACCTTTACAGCTGCTCATTCTCTGTCATTTCTGCCAGTTTAGCCTCTGCTCTGAGCTCTAGTCCTCTCCACCTAAGGACTGACTTGACTTCTTTTCTTGCATGTCTCAACAGCACATCAAACTCAAACTGAACTCAATTCTCTTCTCCCTCCTCCCAAATCTAGCCGTATTGCCAAAAATCTGAAAGATTCTTTTATCTTTCCCATCACCACCCACAACCAATCTTTACTCAAGCCTTGACAATTTCATTTTTTAAATAAAGTCCATTCACTGCCATCAACTGGCTTAAACCACTGTCATCTTTCACATAGAACTAGTATAACAGTCCCCGAATTGGTCTTCCTGTCTCTACTCCAGTCCCCCTAAAAAATTGTTTTGTACACAGTAGTCAAAGGGATATTTCTACCAATGGGATCATGTCAATTGCTTGCTCAGAAGTCCCCAACTTCCCTTTGTCCTCCAAACGAATAGCCCAGGTCCTGCTTGGGACCCACAAGGTCAGAGCCTACCCTTCACCCTCTTCGTCTCACTCCCCCTCCATCTCTGTTCCAGCCGCAGCAGCCTTCTGTAACATGCATGCTTCTGTCACTCCTTTTCCTCAGGCCTGGTGCCCTCGCTGTCCCCTCCACCTGGCCTGGCCTTTCCTTTCCTCTTGCCAGTGTACACCGCATTCCGGTGCCACATCCACAAACTTCTCCTAGCATTTAGCACCTCTTGAAAGACTTTTGTATGGAAATGTTGTCCTCCTCAGTTAAAATGTTAGCTTTTTGAGGGCCTGTCTTGCTTGCTGCTTCACTCCTAAAGAGCCAGACAAGTCACTCAATGACTACTTATTGAATGAAGGAATAATTCATCCTCTGCCGCCCCCACCGTGTTCGTCAAGATCCCTAATCCAGCGCTTTGAGAGTCCCACCTGAAAGGTATGCTGGGGAAAGTTTGCAAATAGATACGGGTGAGGCGCAGCCACTTAAGGAAGCCTATACGTATCGTCCGGGTGGAAGAGCGCGCCTGCGCATACGCTCCGCTACGGCCCTGGCCCACTGCGGCCGTGGGAGGGCGCTGGGCGAAAGCTCCTTGTTAGCGCGGTCTTCCAGGCCGGCTTCAGGCCGCTCTAGCCGACCTTCTTCTCGCCTGCTCTGTCGGGCGGAGGGAGCGCCCGCTGGGTCCCTCCAAGATGGCGGCGCAGAGGAGGAGCCTGCTGCAAAGTGTGAGGAACCGACCCGCTCTCCGGGCCGGGGGTTGGGAGCCCGGGGTGGGGTGAGGGGGCAGTCTGGTGCAGGTGCGGCTCCCTCTTCTCTTGGACCGCCTACCTCTCCCTGGCGGGGTGCGATCGCCGCCCTCCCCTGTCCTGGGCCGACTCCCCGCCCATTCCCCAGGACGGGGCGCGTGCGCGCTGCCAGCCCAGCCGTCAGGGGCTCGGATTCCAGGTCCCAGACTACCCGAGCGTCCGGGGCACGTCGAGGGTCAAAGTTTTGGAGCCGGAAGGGCATATGGCGCCTGGCGCAGGGGTGGTGAGCCAGACGTGGGATGATGATAATCATAGCAGCACTTGTATGCGGCTTACTCCATCCCAGGCTTGATGCCGATTGCTTTACATTTGTAACTTTGATTTCAATAGCAGCCCCATGAGACGAATACTCTGGCTATTCTTGTTTTACACATGAGAAAACGAAGGCACAAAGAAACATCACTTGCCCAAGGCCACACAGCTGGTGAGGGGCAGAGGCAGAGTTAAAAGCAGGCAGTCATTCTTTTTAACCTCTGACCTCCGACGGAGGAAGGACGGAAGTGGACAGCCTGGGTTCTGGTCCTGGCTGTCACTCACTCTGCCTCAATGGGCCTCAGTTTCCTCATCTGCAAGGTGAGAGCAGGCAGTGGGAGCATTGTCTGTTGACTCATCCCTACCCTCAGTCTGGACCAACACTGGCTTGTCGCTGGCGTCTTCCAGCCCTTATGTCTTCGCGACCCTCGCGTCGTGCAGATGCGTACATATTGGCACCTGCCAGGTCAGGATGCTGGTCCCTTGGGTCCTCCACAGACATAGCAGTCTGTTGTAATTGTCTGTGGAGTTGTCTGCCTCCTGTTCTGGAAAGTGAACTCTTTGAAGACAGAGACTTGTCATTTACAATGAACAGTGTCACCAGTACCTGCCACCACTAGGTGCCAGGCATTCAGTAAATATATATAAAATAATGAGTAAAGCGTTTGTAGCCAGGTCCAGTGCTCATCATTGGCCCTCCTGCCCTGAGGGTCTTGAAGCATCGGAACTGGGGTGCAGGGGATGACTTCCAGCTGCATGTTCACATCAGGCTTCGTGTAGACCCTGAAATTCCTCTTCCAGGACCGCAGCTCCCAGCTTGGCGGGGGAGTGTGTAGATCTCTTCCTCTCCACACTTTTGGCTGTCCCCCCCCCCCCTTTTTTTTTACACTGCTTGGCAGGTCAGCCTCGTCATTGAGTGAGTTAGGTAGACCTGGCCCTCTGTTTTGTAAGCTCCCAGAGGGCAGGCGCCTGTGTAAAGTCCCCATTCTGATAAACATTCCAGAAACACTGGCTGGATTGCAGCACATGCTGAAAGTGATAACCGCCAGGATCACTGCTCTAGGCTGGCTCGGCCTGCTGAGGAGGCTGGCTGCCAGCTTCCGTCCTCTCTAGGTTATGCTGAAGCCCAAGGGACTCAGGTTAGACAGGGGATGAGCTTTACTAGCTCCAGAATGCGTTCCCGGGTGGTGGCAGATCCTTTGAAAGGCAAGATAGTTAGCTGTAAGCACAAAGTATCCTGATGAAAGGCGAGGGGCTGCCTGGCAGGTCTGCACCAGGCCCCTCCCAACCCAATGAGGATGGAGACATTTCTGCTCACAGGGTGGTTTGCGGGGCTTGCTGTCCCGCCCTCCACTGTCCTGAGTCTGGTGCGAGGTGCTCAGACACCATCGTTTGGCAGATGACTGTGAGGGCTGCTGGCGTGGGCCTAGCGATGTGAAGCTGAACAAGGCGTTTGCCCACCCTCGCGGCCTTTGCAGATCAGCTCGAGAGAAGGAGCCATGTGCCACTTACACCGTGTGTACGGCGCTCTACTGTCAGTGCGTTGAGGGGCTGCGGGTGGCCTGATCTGGCCGGGCCGGGGGAGGCTGGCAGGAAGGGCTGGGGAATCGCTGACATGGTGCTGGGGGGGCGTCGCTACGGCCAGGTGGCAGAGCACTTTAGTGGAATGACATCCGAGGACTTTTCCCTCTCGTCCCCAGGCAGCGTGGTACCTTCAAAGGTCTTTTGAAGAAAAGAACAGCTTTTGAAGATAGCTAGATGTGTTCGAAAAACCTAGGCCCTTTGCCACATGATGAAACAGAGTATGAATCTTGTATGGCCTTGGGCAAGTCACTTAACATTCCTGAACCTTGGTTTCCCAAGCTGAGAGGGCTCCCAGAAGTGTGGTTAGTATTAAGCGAACGACCATGTGACACTCCTAGCCTGGCACGGTCACACTGCAGCCGTGAAGTTCCACCTTTAGTTCTGCCACGAGTGAGTGCCTGGGGCTCGTTCTCCAGCGTCACTGAGCACTCACTAAGTGGCAAGCCCCATGTGGGTACAGGGGACACTGTCATCATGAAGCTTATATTTTAGTCTACGAAAGGAGACAGTAAACAATGAACAGAGACATATTACGTATGATGTATTAGTATTTATAACGTAACATCGGGTGGTGCTGTGAGGAAAAATAGTCTGGATTCACACACAGGATGGTGGAGGGGCCATTGAAGACCAAGTGGTAGGGGAAGACCTCTCAATGTGTGATTTGATAAGATGAGCCCCGGGCAGGCAGCTCGGTTAGTTAGAGCAGAGCGTCATCCCTATAGGCCAAGGTTGTGGGTTCAGTCCCCAGTTAGAGCACATGCAAGAAGCAACCAAGGAACGCATAAGTAGGTGGAAGAACAAAGTGATGTTTCTCTCTCCCTGTAAAGTCAATAAGTAAATTAAAAAGAAAAATAAAATACTTGATGAAATGAAGTAGGGGGCATGGGAGGGAGTATTCCTTCCTGAGGGAACAGGGACACAAAGGCCTGCCTGTCTGGGGAGCGGCGAGGATGCCCATGCGGCAGGAACGGAGTGCGTCGGGGAGTGGGAGTAGCCCAGGCCCAAGGGAGCCTGCGGATCTGTGTGTGGACTTTGGATTCTGTTCTACGTGTGATGCGAAACTCTCATCTGGTTTTGAGGAGGGGCATGGTGTGACCTGATGGGGAATTGGAGAAAGCCCTTCGTTGGGAAGGGCTTGAGTGTCAAGGGTAGACGCCTGGGGCCTGCTGAGGGGCACTCAGTTGTCCAGATGTGAGATGCCAGCGGCTTGGCCAGAGCAACGGCAGAGGAGCGGGGATCAGGACTGGGCACAGGCTGTGTTTTGGGGGAAGATCTGGTCCAATCTGCGGACAGACCGGATGTGGGGTGCATGACTGAGGAAGAAGAGTCAAGAAGGACTACGAGGTTTTGGTTGGAGCAACAGTGGCGCCCTTTGCTGAGATAGGAAATCCAGGAGCGTGTTGTGCGCAGGGAGAATCAAGAGTGTGATTTTGCCTATACTATTATTTCCTAAATTAGTTTCAAAAGTCAACTTGAACTTAAATGTTTTTAACTTAGACGTATCCCAAGCAATTATATCTATACAATCACAGGTGCTAGCTGTATATTTTTCTAAGGTACATGGAAATAATTGTATGCCCGTTAAAATAAAAACATTCGCTTGGCCGCCGCCGACAGCCATCTCTCACACTGGCAGAATGTGGGCCAGCTGCTCTAGCACACAGTAAGTGCTGCGCATTATTATTTAAAAGTGTGTTAGGACTGTATTTGTGATGAAAACATAGAGAACCTTTGATGAAACCCTGGTGAGAGAGGTGGGAGCCCTAGTGTGGAGCTGGTCCCAGAGAAGGAGGGAAGGAAAAGGGGGTCATTCAGAAAGACAGAGATGGCGGCGGCCATCGGATGTTTTAAGCTTTTTGGAGAAAAAGAGCCGCCGCCCCCACCCTGAGTCATCTTCCTGGGAGCATTATTCTCCCTTTCTGAGCTTCCTTTTTGCCTCTGAGGAATTCGGTGCTTTCACCACAAAAACACTCAGCCTTTTCATACTATAATTTGATATTCAAGCTGTGGCCTGAACTTGGAACCGTGCTTTGTCCACTTCGGCTTCCCAGGAGTTCGAGACGAGGCTCTGTGGGGGCTGGAATGAACCATTTTTAGGCGATATGCTCCCATACGTATGTGCAGAGCTAATGCATGAATCTATGTGCGCAAGGTGTTTACAACGCCCTTAATGGGTTAAGTACAATTGGATCACAAAGAAGCTCTTCATTCCAAAATAATGCATCTTGGAAACTCCTCCACGCAAACAAGTTAAAATAAGGTTGTTTGAAACAGCATTTTTTTTTTCTTGCCATATTTTCTGTTAAATTTCTTGTGAGAAGTTAATTTGTAAGCCATCAAAGAGTTGAAGTGGTCCATGCTCATGGTTGTACATATTTACTCAGCTCTGTGACGAGGCTGTGTGAGCGTGAAACGCCCCCTTCTCAGTTTACCAGCCAATTCACGCTCTGGGTGTAGCAGCGCCACTTGCTGCTGGTTGCTGGTGGGCCTGGCATTTGGGGCGTGGGAGAAAGTATGCATCAGTGTGTGCTGGGGTGGAGCGGTGGGTGGTTTGTGTAAATGGAAAATCCATGACCTTTCCAAAAATTGTTCAGAAATATGGAGGAAGGAAGCAAGAGCCTTGGGAGTTGGGTGTGTTGTAACAGCGTCAGCCATGTCTGCTTGGTATGGAAAATCCCCGTGGAGATGGAGAGGCGTGGAAGACCACGGTCACCGAGCAGTGCACCTGGCCACGGCAGTGTGAGAGTGATAGCTGGGCCGCCGCTGAAATCGGGGGCGACCATGTACTCTCCCCCTCCCACGCGGGAGAGGCTCCTGTGACCGTCTGGCCAGGCGTCACAGACTGTGGGCAGGGCTGGGGGCTGCCTTCTAGGCAGGCCCTCCACGGAAGGCGTGCTGGGGAAGCTGCCCCTATGTCACTGGATCCAAGGTGCTATTACTTGAAAGGATGCATCATTATTTTACATGCTACCGAGAAGGAAAACACGCTGCTAAAAGGCTGTAACACACCAAGTTCAGAGATATTGGAGTGCTGAAAATGTATGTATGTCAGCCAGTGAAATAAGGTAGCTAATCAGTGATACCAGGCCACAGCATGAGAGTTGCTGCAAAGCGAAATGGTTAAGGGCCGCCGAGCGGGCTGCCCCATACATACCATGAGGCCGTGGTCTGGATTTCTCAGGGAAGGGGCTTTGTGGCCGTGGCCAATATTTTCGCAGAGTCTGGGACACATACAGGGAGGTGGTTTGGTGTGTGCTGGTTGGGACCTACCTCATCATTACACACTGAGGAGGCTATTTGCTTCTCTGTTTTCAAACTCTCTGATGACATATCAAGAGAAAGACTTGGTTCGGTCCCAGTGTATGTCCTTAACACCTTTCCAATTCTTGCTAATCTCTCTTCTTTGTTAACAGAGAGAGCAGGGATCCAGCTCAGAATCTGTCACAGGCAGTTGGTTCAACTAGAATTTAATAACTTTGTTTTCTTTTAGTTTTTTTATTGTCTTCGAGATATGGCAAATAATACTGGTTTTCTACTCATGATACTGAAAACGTTTACATTCACAATGAAATCATTTGCATAAAAGAAAATATATCGATTTAAAGAAAAAATATGAGGTGGATGATTCCTTGAAGCTGGTGAGTGGATAGCTGATGTCTGGGAAGCCTGGCCTCTGGCCCCGGTTGGGCCGGGCAGGCCTGTCATGGGTGGGTAGGCCTTGGAAAGACAGAGGGACGGGAGGCCGTGCCTCACCACGGAGAGAGAGAGAGAGATATATATATATATCCGGCAGGCAGAGTCGTTTATTTGTGGTGCTAGTATAAAAATAGTCTCAACTCCTAGCTCTGGTTGTGTCACGGGTGCCAATATCACCATGGATACTTTTTAATTTGCTCTTTGGATAATTTTTTCTTTTTTCTTCCTTGTGTTTATAGCAAGCGAAGTCAAACCGGCTAGGAACTCAGTGTTTAAAGAGCACCAGTGTGAAATAAGCAGAGCTGTGCTCAGCAGCGTCCATGTGTCCAAGCCGCTGGCTTGCTTGGCATTGTGGCTCCTATCTGTGACTGCGCCTCGAGGGTCAGCACCCCCCCCCCCCACTGTGTTGCTGGCTTTTCAGTAGAGCAAACCTGGGGCTGAGTGTCACTCCTGGGCTGTGTTTGGTGCCGACACCTGCCAGAAGTGGGTTAGCTTTCCACGCTTTCTGTCCTGGTCACAGTTTTTCAGAAGTCATTTGAAACATTGTATAAAAGGCCTTATCTGTACAAGATAAAGAGCTAAGTGAGATTGTTAATCAGAGGGTGATATTCAAAACTGCATTAAGTGCATTTAACTTTTGACAAATGTGCAAAGGTAATTTATTGGAGAAAGGATAGTCTTTTCAACAAATAGTATTGGAACAATTGGACATCCATATGCAGGAAAAAAAGAACATTGGACTAAACCTTTATACAGAGATTAACTCAAAATGGATCACAGGTCTAAATGTAAAACTATAAAACTTTTAGAAAGACATGTAGGAGAAGATCTCCGTGATTTGCAGCTGGACAAAGAGTTCATAGACATGACACCAAAAGCATGAGCCATGAAAGAAGAAAATTGATAAAATGGACTTCATGAAAACTAAAAGCTTCTGCTCTGCAAAAGATACTTCTTTTTTTTTAGTAATGTGTCTTTTCTTTTAAAGATTTTATTTATTTATTTACTTATTTTAAAGGATTTTAATTTTTGAGAGAGGAGAAGGGAGAAAGAAAGAGGAAGAGAAACATCAATGTGTGGTTGCCTCTCATGCACCCCCTGACTGGGGACCCGACCCACAACCTAGGCATGTGCCCTGACTGGGAATCGAACCAGCAACTCTCTGGTTTGCAGGCTGGCACTCAATCCACTGAGCCATACCAGCCAGGGCTGCAAAAGATACTATTAAGTGAATGAAATGACAAGCTACAGACTGGGGAATATATCTGCAAATCACCTGTCCAACAAAGGACATTTATCCAGGTATTAAAGAACTCTTAAAACTCAACAGTTAAGAAAACAAACAGCCCAGTTTAAAAATGGACATAAGACTTAGAAACCTCATCAAAGAAGATATGTAGATGGCAAATAAGTACATGGAAAAATGCTCAACATCATTATTAGCCATGGAGAAGTGCAAATTAAAGCCACAGTGAGATACCACAGACCTCTTACAATTCTAAATTAGATTGAGGAAAAAAAAAAGAATACCATGTGGTGGCGAGGATGTGGAGAGCACCAGAAACTTGCAGTGCTGGTGGGAATGCAAAATCTGGCAGTTTCTGATGAAGTTAAACAGCAGTCTCACTCCTCGTTCTTTCACTAGAGAAATGCAAAACTATGTTCACACAAAAACCTGCCCATGGATTTATAGCAGCTCTTCTCATAATTGCTAAAAACTGGAAACAGCCCAGATGTCCTTCAGTGGATGAGTGGGTAAAATGTGCTCATCCATATGACAGAATCCTGTTCTGCAACAAAAAGGGACACGCTGTTGAGGCAGGTGACAACTTGGATGAATCTCAAAGGCCTACTTGCTGAGTGTAGGAGGCCGGTCTGGAAGGTTACGTACTTAGAGACCTAGGGTGTAGTGGTGGTTGCAGAGTCTGGAGGGAGGGGTGGGGGAGAAGTTAGTATTTAATGGGCATAGAGTTTCAATTTGGGATGAAGAAAAGAGTTACCGGACGGATCGTGATGGTCTCACAACATGTGAATGTATTTTAGCGCCACGGGAAGTCTTCTCTTAACATAGTAAATTTTATGTTATGTGTGTTTTGTCACAGTAAAAAGAAAAAAGGAAGGTTATGTACTGCATAGTTCACTAATGACATTCTTAGAAGAACCGTATAGTGATGGAGCAATGGTCAGTAGTTTCCAGAGGCCTGGGGAGGGCGCAGCAAAACCAGGGTGTGTTTGGGATGATGCTGGCATGTTAAAATTTATGGGCCTGCACACCCCCCAAAATTCCTTTTTATTATACGTTAATTTAAAAATGAAAGCAGACTCCCACACCCTGCAGAAGTTGCTCTAGGGTACAGAGCACAGAATTGAAGCTCCTACAGGGGTGTCCCACCTTTTGGCGTCCCTGGGCCACCCAGGAAGAGTTGTCTTGGGCCACACATTACATACACAAACATTAACGAAAGCTGATGGCAAAAAAAGGGTTTTAAGTAAATCTATGGCTTTGTGTTGGGCCCCCATTTATAGCCATCCTGTGGGACACTCCTGCGTCATTAAAGCAATTAAGATGAAAAAAAAAAGAGAGAGAAAGCCATAAAGTTCCTCCCTGTCAGTATGTAAATAAACAGAAGATGATATTTGCCACAAAAGCTAACCACGGGCTTTTTACACGTCTGATTGCAAAAGCCTGTTGAAGTGGTTTTCACATCCTTTTTTGAAGATTCACTACTGACTTGTACGAAGTTGCGCACAATGCTCGTGCTTACTGAATATTTCAGTAAAGCTTTCGATCCAAGTTTTGTTCTCCGTGCAACTGGACTGGATTCTCCCGATTGTTTTCATCAGCTCCAGGCCAACACAGTAGGTCCTGGGAGTGCCCTGGGAGACCAGGCGTGGGTCTCAGCAGGGGGTCGAGTGGGGAAGCTTTCACTGAGGCAGTGGATTGTGCATCAGAGTCCTTTCTGGGGCTTAAGAAATGCCGGTGCTCAGAGTGCGCCTTAAGGAGATTTAGGAAATGCAAAACCTGTTTCGGATGGGGCCTGGATGTGTGTGGACATGCGTACGCGCGCGCTTAAAGCTCTGTCGTGATTATAGTAGGCAGCCTGGTTTGAGATCTGCGGGGTAGGACGGGAGTCAGACACAGGTGGGCAGGCGTGAGGGAGACAGAGGTAGTGGGACTACACAAGAGGGCTGTCAGCCAAGCCTGGGGAGGGTCTTTCTGAAGGAAGACCCCCTCGCCCAGGGAAGGCGATTCCCATGCCAGAGTCCCATGAGAATAGCCAGAGAAGGATAAGAAGGGTGTTCCGGGCAGAGGGAGAGAGTGGGGTGTGGGCAGGGCACTGCCAGCGTTTGGTACAGGTGGGGAAGGTGTGGCAGGGAGCAGGTGGGAGAGGACATAGCAAAATGCGCAGCAGGGATTAGAGGCCCCAATGTCAGGGAGAGGGACTGACGAAGGCTAGCTTGTAAGTCAGTTTCTCAGAGCCACCTGGCAGGACCTGACCACAACACAGGTACCCGGACCTTACCAGGAGCAGACGTTCTGGGGGTGGGGCCTGGAAATCTGCACTTTCATTCAGTGCCCAAGGGCCTGGAGTCAGGGCCACTGCAGCGAGAGGCGAGGAGCTGCCCAAGGGTTTTCTACCAAGAGTTTGCCTCGTGTGTGCACGTCTCGTTCGTGTTCTGGAGCATCGCTCGTACCTGGAGTTCACTGTCAAGCCTCGCATTTGGGCGCTCTGGTCTTTTTCAGGGAATGGGTGAGTGGATAGGCCATAAAAAAATGCCAACCCTCTGCAGGTGTCTATTCACACAAGCATCATTATTTTGCAGAAGGAAGTAGAACCCCCTGTGTAGGGCTCTGGCCTTGCTGGGTTTTTGTTGGGGAAGAAAAAGGTGAAGTGGGGTCTGCCCTGGAGGAGAAGGTGACACTTCCTCATTTCCTAGTGTCCTTCCCAGGAACAGCAGCCAAGTTGGACAGATGACCTGCCTCTCTGCCACCTCTCTGGGGTGGGCTCAGCCTCCAACCGAAGCTACTCTGCTGATGGCAAGGGCACTGAAAGCCACCCGCCGGAGGACAGCTGGCTCAAGTTCAGGTGAGTGTGCCAGGAACGCGTCCCTGGGCGTGGGAGTGGGTGTGCAGCTCTCTCGCATGGGGCTTGCCAGTGAGGTGTGGCCCATGGGAGGTGGCATCTGCTGCTGTCCCTGCCACATCTAGGCCTCAGACCAGCTTAGGGCCTGCTACAACGGGGAACATCCTGAAGGTCATGGCCAGATAAAACGATGGTCACAGTGGTCCAGGTGGGCCCCTGAAGCCACAGCTGCTGTGCCTCTGGTCTCCCCCAATTTTTGTCCCTCCTCCCCGTCCACTCGGGATCCGGCATCACTCTTCTGGGGGCCTCCGGTCTCAGGCCTCCTCCTACCTGTCTGCCTGTCAGGAGCGAGAGCAGCTGCTTTCTGTATGGGGTCTTCAACGGCTATGACGGCAACCGGGTGACCAGCTTCGTGGCCCAGCGGCTGTCCGCGGAGCTCCTGCTGGGCCAGCTCAGCGCTGAGCACACAGAGGCCGACGTGCATCGTGTGCTGCTGCAGGTACGGTGCCCGGGCCGGCTGACGGCCACCGGTGGGTTGTGTCCCCCAGGAATGTGGCCCCACTACTGTGAAGTGGGGGCTTAGCCAGGGCTGGTCTGCAGACCCTGCCCACTCCTTCTCTCCTGCGGAGGACCCAGCTTTGGGAGCCCCGCGCAGCGGCAGGGGCTCCCCACTCCCGGGGGTCCAGGAGCAGGCAGCCCGCAGCAGCCCTTACCCCCATCTGACAGCGCTGGCTCTGAAGGAGATGGTCCTGGGGCACGGGGAGGAGGGGTAGAACCGTGGGCGAAGGGGTGTGGCGCGGGTGCTGATTTAGGGTGACTTAGGCCGCTTTCCTTGGGCCTGACTCGGGGGCCCGGCCGCTGGGGGCTGCCAGCACCCGGGGCCTCGCCTCCTCACTTCCAGTCCCTGGCGCCCCTTGGCCAGCTCTGCGTCTCTGCTTGCTGCCGTTTTGGAGATTTTCTTCCTGGCGTCTCCCTGTGGAAGCACATCTGGAGTCATTTAGTTTGGATGAGGAGGATGGATTCCTGTTCCTCAAAAACAGTGGTCCCAGCTGTTTTCCTGCCTCAGCACCTGAGGGCTGGCGTGCCCTCCCCTGCCGCAGGGCCCTGTGCCACTGGTTCTCAGCCGGTCCCCCCAGGAAAGGCAGCGGTGTGACCAGTGTTCGGGGGTGAGCAGGATGTAGTGATGACACCAGCTGTCTCTGAGCCAGGCGCTGAGCGCTCAGCCACCCTCAGAACAGCGCTCACCTCTTCATAGGTGAAGAGACTGAGGCGCCAGCTCGCCTGATTCCAGGCCTGTGCTCTTGGCCTCTGCGTGCTCGGCCTTCGCCTCTGTGGTTGCTGTGCAGTGCCACGCGTGAAGCCCCTCCCCCATAGGGACCTGCTCTTCATACAGCGCGTCGCCGTTAGTCGGGGGCGTTTCCGCCTCAGGGGGCAGTGGTGTTCTGAACCGGCGGCTGCCCTGCACCCTGTCCCTGTCCTCTGTGCCTCTAGGCCTTCGACGTGGTGGAGAGGAGCTTCCTGGAGTCCATCGATGACGCCCTGGCTGAGAAGGCCAGCCTGCAGTCCCAGCTGCCAGAGGTACCCTCCCCAGCCTGCCCCCCGGGAGAAGCGCATCAGGGCCGGCTCTGCGAGCAGCACGGGCTCGTTTGCCACGTCACTCCCAAGCCATTGACACCACTGGGCCAGAGCAGCAGGAGTTAGGGGACAGTTCCTGACCAGGGGACATGGGTGAGGAGGGGTTCGCCCTCCAAGGGGCCTCCCTGGCTGCAGCGGGCAGCGTTGCTCGGGCGCAGCAAGGGGCGGACAGTGCAGGGCGTGAAGAAGAGCCCTTGCGGGTCCGTCTTCAACCTGAGTCTGCCCGCCGCCCTGCCACCGCCCGCTCCCATCGCCCACCAGCGCTTTCAGAGGCGACCGGGCACGCGAGGGCGCCTCGGGCTTTCCCGGACAAACCTGCCTGGAAGGGTGGCTTCCACCCCGGCCGGGCCCCCAATGCCTGCTCTTTGAGGGGGCTTGGGGTGGTTGGTGAGGGGGTCTTCGAGGACCCGGCCTGCTCTGACCCTGACCGGTGGCTTGTAGGGTGTCGCCCAGCACCAGCTGCTTCCCCAGTATCAGAAGATCCTCGAAAGACTCAAGGTGTTGGAGAGGGAGATTTCGGGAGGGGCCATGGCTGTCGTGGCCGTACTTCTCAACAACAAGCTCTATGTCGCCAACGTCGGTGAGCCACCCGTCTGTCCCGGGGCGGGGAGGGCTGAAAGGATGAGCTCTGGGGGTCTGGGGTTCTCTGGGCAGTCTGCTTTCCAGACACATGGGAGCTCCGTCCTGGATGGGCCAAGGCCGTTGGGCGGGTGTCCCTGCTACTCTGCACGGGTGTCTCCGCCTCAGTGGGGGGAGTTGGAACTGCCTGCGGGACACAGGCGTCTCCTGGCTTTAGTCCCCGTGCCGCTCCTAACTGGCCTGCCGCCTTGGGGGTGTTGTGTCCCTGTCTGGGTCACCTCAGTGGCTCCCTCTTCCAGAAGAGACTGTCATCTGTAGAAGACCCACTTGGCATCCCATGGAGGGTGGTCAGGTGGGCTGGGTGCGGGCCGGGGGTGAGGGGTCACAGGGGCGTTCGGTGGGCAAAGAGGAGGCCGCCTGGGGCCAGGAAGGCCGCACCCCAGAGCGCCAGCTGCTGTCGGAGCCTGTAGAGACCGCGCCGGCAGTGTCCCTCTTCTCTTCCTCCTTTCCTTAAGATGTCATTACGGAAAAAAATTAAAAATGTAAAAACAATAGAGTGACTAGCCGAATGAACCCTCGTGTGCCTCTCCGCAGCGCCAGCGGTCCTGTCCTCCTGGCCAGTCTCATTTCACCCACGGCCCTTTGTCCCCGCGTTGCTGTGAAGCAAACACCAGACATCGTGGCCTGGTACCTGTAAATATTTCTGACATACGTCTCCCTAGACAGAAGGTCTCTTATTAAAATCATAACCGTAATCATCCTAGGATGGCACTGGAAAAGTTTAACCTAATTCCTTCATGTCGTTGGCTCTCCCTGACTGGTGGCTCACCCAGGGGCCTGTTCTCACTGCTTGTTGCCGGGGCTCCCGCGCGGGAGACGCCTGCCTTGGTCTCTCTCTGCCTTCTCACCGTGGCCTTGTCCGCTCTGTGCTCAGTCTGTGCTCAGCGGCTCAAATTCTGCTGCAGGTACGAACCGTGCACTTCTATGCAAGTCCACGGTGGATGGGCTACAGGTGACACAGCTGAACGTGGACCACACCACAGAGAACGAGGATGAGCTCTTCCGCCTCTCACAGCTGGGTGAGTGGGGCACGGGGGCCGAGGGGTCAGTGGCGGGACGGCGACGCTTGTGGCTCATCCTTGCTCTCTCCTGGTGGTTGTGTAGCGAGAGGTTCGACAGGATGGGCTGTGACCTTGGGCTTGGGGCCAGTCTGCCTGGGTTGACTGGCGGCTCTGTGGCTTCCCGGTTGTTGATGTCTGGCACTTACTCAAGCTTTCTGTGCCTCAGTTTCCCCGTCTGTAATGAGATAACAGTAACATCTGCCCCAGGGTGTGGCGAGGGTTGAAAGAGTGAAGGCATGTAAAATGCGCCCTGCAAGAGCACCCAGCAGGTTCCCTGTTACTGGTGGGGACTGAGGCTGAAGCAGCCCCGAGAATTCAGACGCCGCTGCCACCGCTCCCCTCCCCAGGCCGAACGGGCTCTCAGTCAGCAGGTGTTCCGACGGGGCTGTGGATGGGGACTGAGGACACAAAGGGGCATTGGGCCGGCCGCTCTCAAGGCACCTGGTGTGGCTTCATCTCCATGGGTCCCTGGTACCTTGTTTCATGGATGTGTCTGTCGCCTTCTCTTTGTCCGTCATTTTGAACAAAGTCTGGCTTGTCATGTTGTTCTCCCCTGCCAGGTCTGGACGCAGGAAAGATCAAGCAAGTGGGGATCATCTGTGGGCAGGAGAGCACCAGGCGCATCGGGGATTACAAGGTCAAATACGGCTACACTGACATCGACCTACTCAGGTAGGTGGCCGGCCCAGTGCGCCCCGCCCCCCTTAGGCTCTTGGGGCAGCAGGTGCAGTTGAGATAGCTCAGGGCCCACAGACATTCTTCTTTCCCCCTCCCAGAGAGGTTGGTGTGGGGCCAGGGGTCAGGGACCTATAGAGTGAGGCTGGCAAGGAGTTGAAGCCAGAGGACAGCAACCTGTGTCACAGGGCCTAGCAGGAGGGGCCAAGGTTAGCCTGAGAGGCTGGTGTGCGCAGGGACAGACCGAACGCTGGCCGGCCGGTGCTGTCTATGGCTGGGGCCAGGGCAGAGGTCCGAGGCGGACTGCAGATTTCCCCCCAAGGACACCTCTCTTCTGTCTGCCACCCAGTGCTCTTGGCCGCAGATGGGCAGTGCGCGCAGCCGAGAGCCTGGGCTGCGGCAGCCCATGCACAGCCCTCGCCTGGGCCCTAGGCAGTAGGCGCTGCCACTGCCCAGAGGTCCTTTCCTATGAGGAACCAACACGGTGATGGTAGGCTGCCTGTCCGGCCACAGGGCTGGCTGTCAGCTGAGGCAGGACCGGAACCCAGGCAGCCTGGGTTCTGAGCACATGTCCTTAAATAGGCGTGTGCATGTCAGCATGTGTGTCTCATCGTGGCATTTAGTGTCGCAGCCAGAGCCGAGGAGGTGTTGTGCCGAAGGCCTGTCATCAGAAGCTGGGCCTCATCATGACTTAGAAGCACGAGTTAGAAATCCCTGCTCTCACAGGATATAGGCTGTTGAGTTTGGAACCTTTTGTTTCTAATTTGTGGGGTTCTTCTGCTTTATTGAAGAGCTCATATGTGGTCTCAAACAGTGCCAAGGATAAACCGTGCAGAGTACGTTTTCTTCCTACCCCAAGCCAGGACTCCTACCCTAGACACTGCTGGTTTCTTGTGTACCCTGCCCAACGTTCCTATACGCGTGCAATACGTGTGTGCATGCGTGCGTGTGCGCGTGTGTGTGTGTGTGTGTGTGTGTTGGGTGGGAGTTGGGGCTGGGACGGGCATCCTTTTCCACATACCCACGGAGCGCTGGCCTCCCCTATCCGGCGTTCCGCGCCTCACTTTTTCTGTCCGGCACCCGCCCCTCCATTCCTGCCACCTGCGGTTGAGGCTGGCAGTATTTTCCGTGACAGCTGCTGGGTCCCAGTGTGTGGCTGTGTCAGCACTCACCCATTGGCCCCTACTGGCGGACCCTCAGGGTGTTTCCAGACTCTGCTCTTTCAGCTACTGTTGCCAGAAACATCCCAGAGTTGTCTGTGTGCAGGTACACAGGCAGGAGCTTCCCGGCATTTGCCGGCCTGGCAGCGCATCGGATGGTGCCTGCATGCAGGTCGTGTGTCGGCGGGGTCTGGGGCAGCTCCACACCTGCTTTGGAGGAGCCCAGGAGGAGCGGCTTTGAAAAGGGAACCCTGCTCTCTTGCTGTCCCACCCTCCCCCGCTGCTGCCCAGGCTCTATGGGCAGGAGATGCCGTGTGGGGCCAGGATTGGGCGTGTCGCCTTTGCTCTCCTGACCCCAGCTGCCCTCTAGCTATTCTGGCCCTCAGAACGTGATTGTAGTAGCTGCCCCTAGAAGGCAGGTCTGTTTTTCTCTTTTCGTTTTCTCTTGTCAGATGTGTGTTTTGTTGTACATCAAGGTAGATTCTGCCCCATAGCAGAATAGATGTCCCATGGGGGTCTTTCCAAGCACAGCTGTCCCCTCCACTTTCTCTTCCTCCAGCGCCGCCAAATCCAAGCCGATCATCGCGGAACCTGAAATCCACGGTGCACAGCCCCTGGACGGGGTGACCGGCTTCCTGGTGCTGATGTCGGAGGGGCTGTACAAGGCCCTGGAGGCGGCCCACGGGCCTGGGCAGGCCAACCAGGTGCGTGGGACCGGAGCAGAGCATGGCTGGCCAACCCGCAGGGCGGCGTGCTCCCTGGGGGCCTGGCCGGCCCTCCTGCTCAGCACCAAAGTGCTGAGGAATCTGCGGCTCTGATTCCGAAATGCCTTTGCGGGGCGTCCCTGGGTTCAAAGCTGGGGAAGAAGCCCAGAGCTTCACGAATACACTGGACAGTGGACTTCTCTGTGGGCAGGAGCCCTGTCGTCATTCATTCTGTATCCCCACTTCTGACAAAATGGGGTCATCGTAGCCTGCAATAAACCTGTTCCAGGAAAGAAGGCTTGATAACAACCACAATTTATACAGGGCTTTTTAGCAGTCTCTGGAGTTCCCTCACATCTATTATGTTTAAGCCTCATAATAATCCAGAGAGGTGGACATGATCCCCGTGTTATTGGTGTGGAAGCCAACAGTAAGAGGGACCACAAGGTCACGCCTTTTCTAATGAGAAAGTCCCAGAAGGATTATCCTGAATACCTTGAAAAGCTTGGATTGCAGGTGTGGCTGGTGGGGACTTCCTTCACCTGCTTAACCAGTGACCCCTAAGTGTCCTGATTAGGCTCTGGAGTCGTCACAGCCCCTGGCCGCCTTGTTTCTTACCAGACGTTTGCCCCCACCCCCAGGAGATCGCTGCCATGATTGACACTGAGTTCGCCAAGCAGACTTCCCTGGATGCAGTGGCTCAGGCCGTGGTGGACCGGGTGAAGCGCATCCACAGTGACACCTTTGCCAGTGGCGGGGAGCGTGCCAAGTTCTGCGCGAGGCACGAGGACATGACGCTGCTGGTGAGGAACTTCGGCTACCCGCTGGGTGAGATGAGCCAGCCCACGGCGTCCCCCGCCCCCGGTGAGTGTGCAGTGCGGGCGGAAAGCCCCCAGAAGGCCGTTGGGGCTGGGTGCGGGGCAGAGTGGCTTAGGTGCTGGGCCTCGCCGCCCGGGACAGCGGAGGCAGAGTGGGAGGCCTGGCTCTGCGCAGTCCTCTGGGCGCTCAGACTTTCCGGCTTTCTGCCTGCCTTTGTTTGTTCTTCCTCTTTATCTGAGAATGAGGAAGGACCATTGGCCCCGGCCCCTCCTGATGGCCTGCGGGCCAAGTGCTTGTGGAGATGCCAGGCCACGTGATAGGGACGATGGCTGGCGCTGACTGCCTATAGTCCTCATTAACAACTCTCAGGATGAGAACACCCCGTTTTACAGAAAGGGAAACTGAGGCTCGAGGAGGAAGAGATTTAGATGAGACCAGGTATCTCGACCGAAGGTCCCTGAAGCCTGGTGCTGTGCCTGGACCGTGTTAGGGGAGAGCAACGCGCTTCACTTTCTCCTTTGTTAGTTCTGGAACCGAGCTGTTCAGGAAGCAAGGCAGTTGTTCTTTCTGCGCTTCCTGCTCATGCTGCTCAGTTCCTGGGACTGCTGTTTTTTTCTTTTGTCAAACAAGCCTTAAGGCTCAGACGTGCCCGGATGGACTTGTTCTCCTGTGGACACCAGGGTTACTGGAGTCTCTCTGGCTTGTTATTGCAACCCTGTTTTTGTTGGGCCGGCCTCAGTTAGGAGCCTGCTTACCCCCTCAGATTAGAGCATCGCCACGGGGAGCCAGGCGGTAACCCTTTCATCAGGCAGCTCAGCACTTACTTCGCCCCCTGCTTTGAGCACGGGCAGTCCCGTGCTGCCGGGCCCGGAGGTCTCTGCCACGGGACACTCGTTCTCTGTCCCGAGGGGCGCACAAGGCCAAGCCCCAGCTTGGGGAGCCAGGTTGGGTCACCCCCGTCGCCTCTTAGCCCCCAGACACGGCCGTCAGGCCCTGGAACGTCCCTCCTCCCACCACCCCAGCCGACCCCTGTGGCCCACCCCTCTCTTCTTCCCAAGCCGCCGGTGGACGTGTGTACCCTGTGTCCGTGCCTTACTCGAGCACCCAGAGCACCAGCAAGACCAGCGTGACCCTCTCCCTCGTCATGCCCTCACAGGGCCAGCTGGTCAACGGGGCCCACAGCGCTTCCGCCCTGGATGAAGCCACTCCCACCCTCACCAAGTAAGCCCTCGCAGCGCCCACAGCCCCTCTCGGGCCCGCCTCTGGGGCACAGCCCTCGGTATTGGAACAGGAATGCGGGGGCCAGGTCCTGTAGCGGAGCGACCCTGGGTGAGAGGCCCTGGGGTCTTGTACCTCTCACACGCCCCGTCTCCCTTCCTGGGAGGCCTCTAGAAGGAGAGGCAGGAAGAGACAGTAGGGGGTCCCAGCAGCTCGCCGAAGCAGGGCTGGGACAGGCAGGTTTCTGGGGCGGAGCGGCTGAGGCCACCGGGAAGGGACACGCAGCTGATGTTGACAGCCTGCTGGTCCCATTTTCCCGTGGGTCCCCCGTATTTTCATTGAATGGGAAGGTTCTCCTCTGGTTCTCTCTTCTCCTGTCTTGAAGTGTGTGTCGTAGCATGGCCTCCCCAGTAGCATCCGCGCCTGGGGACACTGTTTGGCCCGTCCGGGCTTGTCAGAGCCAGTGCTCTCTGACTAAAACGTCTGACTGAGCTTTGAGTGAGGCCGCACAGACTTCGGTTTAAGGCAGGGAGGCAGCAGGAGGGCTGGAGCCTGAGGGCAGGGTGGGCAGGCCTCCTCCGGCTGCCCCAACCTGCCTGCAGGTCTGGTGTCCAGCCCACCCCTCCTCTTCTGAGGAATGTGTGCCCCCCCACCCCCCAGAGACCAGGATCCGGTTTCCACATTCCAGCCCTGCCCAGAATAATAGAGACGCCACACCCAACCCACTCAGGGCGCAGCCAATCGGAGGGCCCGCAGGACGAGTGGAGTCGTGTCCCTCTGCCTGGAGGGGTCCTCCCCCCTCCCTGCCCCCATGCTGCTGGGTCAACACCACCCCCGGGCCTGGAGGTCTCTGCCTCGGGCTGGCAGGGCTTGCCATGCAGCCAAGCGAGGCAGCCGAGGGCAGTCGGGGTGGCTTCCCCACTCTGGCAGGGCTGCCCAGGGGAAGCCACTGGCTGTGTCCGCAAAGGCAGAGCGTGACCGCAGTGGTCCCAGACCAGGCAGGAGGACCAGCCATCCTTCCGTACCTCTAACTCGCTGGGCCCCTAAACGGCCCTTTCCTCTGCTTTGCACCTGAGCGTGAGGTGGGCCCCGCTGTGGGCTGGCCCGGTGCTGGGCGCCAGGCGCCGGGCAGTGCTGGGTGTTTGCAGCTGGCTGTGTGTACTGTGCAGAGCGTGGGTGTCCAGGGAGCTCTGAAGTCCCGGGGGACCCATCTCCCCAGCCAGTGAGAGGGGAATGAGAAGGAAAGAGTGGGGAGGTTTTCCAGAAGAAGAGCCTTTGTCAGCCCGTAGCCAGTGGGGTTTGGATCAGGATGGATCAGAGCAATTGCAGTAGGTGACCTCCAGCTCAGGGCTGCCCCGAGGGTCCCTGGGTGCACAGTGGCCACTGGCCATGCATGGTTATTGAGTGCTGGAACTGGGGTCCATTGCCATTCTAGTTCATTTAGATAGCCACATATAGCTCGGGCTTAAAAAGCACATTGCACTTTCATCTGCTCCTAAGAACACGTGGTCGGCTGGCTCTTTGTTAGACCTGTGGCTCAAGGCAGGGCCCTCTCCGTCCCCGGGCTGGAAGCCAAGGCCCCTGACCGGCCTCTCCCCTGTCCTCCTCACAGCCAGAGCCCGACCCTGACCCTGCAGTCCACCAACACGCACACGCAGAGCAGCAGCTCCAGCTCGGACGGGGGGCTCTTCCGTTCCCGGCCCGCCCACTCGCTCCCACCTGGCGAGGATGGCCGCGTTGAGCCCTACGTGGACTTTGCTGAGTTCTACCGCCTCTGGAGCGTGGACCACGGCGAGCAGAGCGTGATGACGGCACCCTAGCCCCGACCAGGGAGTGCAGCCCGGGCAGGGTCTCGCTTGAGAACAAGGGGGCCCACCGCTGGGGCAGGGTGGGCTTTTTCCTGCCGGTGTCCTGTGCCATGGGGGCCAGTGGGTACCTGGTCTGCAGACTGGACCCCTCCCTCAGGCAGCCTCCGCCAGGACGGTCCTCACAGAACAAAGGTGCGAGTACAGAAGCTGGGCCAGCCTGCGAGCCCGCCACGTGGAGCAGAACGTGAAGAGGTTCTCCTGGGACCCAGCAGCTTCCCGCCACCCCCTCCCCGTGCAGGAGCCTGTGGCCAGCACCAGCGCCTCTCACCGCTGGGCAGCGGTTCCCCGCTGTTCGTCCCCAGCTTCCAAAGTGAACCCCAGTTGACATCTGCACCTTTGAAGCCTGCGTCTGACCACAGGGCTCCGCGCCTAGGCCAGCCCAGGTGTTTTCAGGGGTAAACGCTTGGGAAGACCAGGGAGGTGCTGGGGCCTGGGATGGCTGCCAAGGGGCCAGGTCAGGGAGGAAGGAACTGGAGGTAACAAGAGGATCACTGGTCCCGGAGCCCCCCAGAGCGAGCAAGCTGGGCTGGCGAGCTCCCCCGGAGATGGTGGGGCAGGAGGGGCGAGGATGTGTCAGGCCGGCTCATGTCACGTGAAAGAGGGGACAGTGGAACATGGTCCTGAAAAGGGACGGGTTCTTTGAGACCTGCTGCTCCGTAGTCAAGCTTGGGCTTGAGACATGCACTGCTTTTACCGATGCCTGGGGCAGGCTCCGGCCATTAGGCCCCGAGTGAGACCGCACCATGGTGCTCCCCTGCCTTCTGTGGGGAGGGGTTGCATTCTGTTTCCGCAGGAGAAGCGAGCCCAGGAGACTCACAACGTGCCCAAGCCACACGGCCTGAGGCGGGGCAGGACTCAGGCCTTCTGCGAGTCCTGAGTGCCCTGGCTTCTGCCGGCCCCTCCCCAGGCCGCAGTCTCCTGCCCCACGGGGCCCCAGACACAGCTCGCCAGGGACTGGCCACAGAGGGCGGCCTCTAGGGTGTTTGGGCTCTGAAACGTCAAAGGCTGGTTCCAAGGCCCTGCTCGCGCTGTGGCCCCAGAATATGGTTCTGCGGGAAGTTTGGCAGGAGCGGAGGGGGTGCGTGACTCCCTCCGCCTCAAAGGAAGCCACCTCCCTTCTTCACGAGAACTGATTTAAAATCAGCCACAAAGGCTGGGAAACAGGGAATTCTCTTCCAGGAATGTCTCGGTGACGCTGTTTGGTCTCTAGAAATAGAATCACTTTTTTACCACGGCAAAGAAGTAATAAATGGCGGTAGTATTGGTTGTGGCGGTGGTGGTAATAGCGCTGTTTCTCCTGTGTCACGTAACTCGAGTGGCAGGCAGCTGGGTGCCCCCTGTCCCCGGCTCCCTGGGCTGGGGCTGGCCCTGGTGCTGCCGCCTCACAGCCCACGGGGAGATGCGGGTCGCGGCCTCCCTCCAGGTCCCCTGCACAGCCCGGGGGGGGCAGTTCGCCGCCGCTGCCGGCCAGCTCCCCGGGCCCCTCGAGCCACGGCGGGGCTGGGGTGCGGCCCCCACGCCCCCGGTCCTGCCTGCCAGTGGTGTGTGGCTGTCAGAGCTTCAGGTCACCAGGACAGTGGATGTTGGTGGGTGTTCAAGGGGTTCCTATTTTGGTTTTGTTTGGGTGGAGGATATTCTATAAATACCCATCCATAAAGTGCCTCTCTCTTCCTGCTTTTGGAGACTTAAGTACTCACAAGAGCAGTGTCTGCAGCTAAAACCAAAACACAGTGTGGCTTAGGAGCAAAGCCACCACACTCAGTGTTTGGGTGGGGGGCTCCCAGGCACTTCCTCCCCTGTGCGGGGAAGCGGCTCCAGGTGGAGCGCCAGCAGAACTGCCTTTCAGAACTTGACCCCCTCGGCCGTCCCTGGGGGTCCTGACTGCCTGGGGGCGTCAGCCCAGCACCTGAGAGGGAGGTGGTGGGCAGGCCAGTCCGCAGATGAGTGACTGAGGCACAGACGGCCTCTCCCAGCAGCTGCTTAGCCCAAGGTGTGTGGGGGCGGGGCGCTGCCCCTTCTGGCTCTTTCCCTGTCCCCTTGAGCCTGCCTGCTGCTGGTGAGGGGGGCACTGTGTCAGCCTCCAGGTAAGAGGGGGGCCGAGGGGGAGCTTAGCAGTCTGTTTTAAGATTTAAGAAGTGGGGGGGGGGAGGCAGAGACAAATGTATTTAAAAAGTAAATAAATTTAAAAAAAAAAAAGATTTAAGAAGTGGCAGGGACAAGAAGAACCGGGGCAGCCAGGCGAGGTGGCGTGGCCTGGGCTGGTCAGTACCCGCCTCGGACACGCAAGGTGGGCGGATTGCCGGCACCAAGCCAGAAGCCAGCTGGAGCCCCCTCCGGCCTTTGATCCCTTCTCAGTGGTGAGGGTGCCCGTTGCCCTGAGGCTGGGTCAGGGAGGAACAAGCCCACCCACCACCCACCGCCTGTGTCCATTCGTCCCTTGAAGATGAGTTTCCTCACAGCACAGGACTCAGCCTCAGGCTTGACCGAGGCCCGCGCCTGAATGAATAAGTGAACAGCCCTGTGACCCTGGGCAAGTCACTTGACCATGCCGAGCCTCGACTTCATCTATAAAAAGAGGATCCGCTCTGGCCGGGGTGGCCCAGTGGATTGAGTTCGGGTCGCGGGTTTGATTCCCGGTCAGGGCACATGCCTGGGTTGCAGGCCGGTTCCCTGGTTGGGGGCGTGGGAGAGGCAGCTGATAGATGTAACTCTCACAAAGTGATGTTTCTCTCCCTCCTTTCCCTTCTCTCTAAAAGTAAATAAATAAAGAGTGTCCAACCTGCTTCTTCATAAGGTGGCCTGACGTGTGTGAGCCGTAGAGGTAGAAACTGTCCTGTCCTACAAATGTGGGAATGGACGGTAACTCTAACCCCACCACGCACAGGCGTGCACTGAGTCACACTCCCTGAGGGCTCTACCTGGGGCCCTAAGTGTGGCAGGTGCCCCTCGCAGCTCCCCCAGGAACCCAGATGCAGAGGGGTGGTCGTGGCTCTTGCCCCTTCTCCACCAAAGCCCAGAGGGAGGCTCTCAGATGGACCCCCAACATTTTTTCCAACAAGGGCATCTTTCATGGTTCTTCCAGGCCCTCCTATTTGGAAACGAAACAAGGACACAGGTCACCACCGTTCCCGGCAGGCTGGGCATGAGCATGAGCACCCGCTTTGTTCCCACGCGGAGGTGGTGTCAGCCCAGAGCAGAGTCGGACGGGCGCTTGACATTCCCATGAGCCTGGGCGGCCTCGGGGGCAGGTGGTGCCTGGCAGCCGGCTTTGAGGAACGTGGACGCCAGTCCCCAGACTCCATCCCTGCCTTGGGAGGAGCGTGAGGACCCCCAGCTGTGTGGACCGGTTGCCCCGCACAGGCCCTTGTGCCAGATCCCAGAGTGGGCCCGGGGGCGCGAGGTGGGCCTCGGAGCCCACCCACTACCTCAAGGCCAGAGCCTCCAGCTGTTCCCACACCCTCCATGGTCAGGCTCCTACACCCGTCACTTCCCCCTTCAAGACCCCCTAATGAGACCGCTCTCCAGGGGCGCCTTCCACTGCTCAAGGCCCCTCCCAGGCTCCTCAGCCCCCAGGAGCCCGGGACACGGCACAGTGAACGGGAGGCTCCCGGTGAGGACCCGAGTTCTGGGCCCCAGTGCCCAGCACACAGCAGTGTCTGGCATTGACCGGAGCTGGACCCAGCTGTTCTGAGGGAAGGAAGAGGACCCCACTCAGACCCTGGGCAGGGGGCTAGGACACATTGTGACTTTCATGGCCTCTTCTTCCACTGAAAGCTATTAAAAATTACATTTTATGACTGCATTGGTATAAAGACATTTATTATTAAAACTTTTTAAATCTAAATTTCTTTTTCTGATTTAGAAGAAAGTGAACTATTTCTGTGGATTCATATAAGTACGGTGGGCCTGAGGCTCCACGCCTGCTGCGCCTGCCGCCCAGGGACCGCTGGGCCCTCAGCCAGCCCCCTCAGTGGGGGGGGCCTGCAACGGAGGTCCCAGGCCCAAGCTTCCGGAACTTCCAAGCACCCCTGGGTTCCTAGACCCAGGAAGATCTGAGAAGGGGTCAAGAGCAGGTGAAAGAACAGAGATGATGTTCTTTGCCCAGGCTGTACCTTCTTTCTGATGCACCCTTCCCTTTTTTCTCTATCTAGCGACAAAGCAGGCAGAGCACCGGCTGTGTTGCTGGGGACTGTGGTTAGGAGGGTAAAGAGAAAGGAGGAGTCATAAATTAGTCATTAGCACTCCTGCCCTGGAGGGGCTCCCTGGCTCCCAGGCTCCCAGGGAGATAAACCAGCACCCAGGGTCCCAGACAGAACAGGCCCTGAGACCCAAGGCTGAGGGGAGGCCCTTCCCGCCGACGGGCTCTGGGAAGCTTCCCAGAACCGGGGCTTGGCACTGGGCCCCCGAATATTTCTGAGGGTAGGGGCATCCTGGGATGCCAGGCTAGCCTGGACCTGATAGCTTTGCTAAAGATGGCAGATTAAACACACACACCAAAATTCTCCCCCTCTAAAACCTCGTGAAGACTGCAGAAGGGGGTTTCTTCTTTAATGTATAAGCCCCCAAGGAAAGACAAGCAAGGCAGCAGACCACGTCTGCACCATATTTGAAGCTGGAAAGTTGACGTAGAGTGGCACTGGCCTAAGAGACTCAACAAAGCCACATCCCAAATGAGAAGGGCTGAGCACCAGCGTGATTTACCCCACAGAATTGCCAAGGGTTCGGCCCCAGCTGGCAACCCCAGGCGGGGGTAACAGGGAGGGGCAAAATAGTGATCAGTCAGACCCTCAGATCCCCTCCCAGAACTGCCAGGCAGTTACCCTCCCCAACCAGGGCAGCAAACTGGTCCTTCTCTGGTGATGACAAACCAGGGCTCCCTGGCCTGGGGAGCGAGGGGTCACACCGAAAACGGAGCCGACTCCCGGGGGCTGCTGAGTGCCGGAGTCCCCGCCTGGTCCCCTGCCCTGCTTCCTGGGGGGCAGTAGGGCCTTTCCCCCACCCCGCAGGACACCGAAGCATTCTCCCCGGAGAACCTGGTCCTTCCAGGAACAAAGATAAGCAAAGTAAATGTTAAAAAGACAAACAGAACAGCCATTACCTTATAACCCAGCAAGTCTATTCCCAGGAAATGAAAAGATGTGTCCACACAGAAATGAGACGCAAACGTTCCTAGCAGCATTACTCAGAGCAGCCAAAGGCAGAGACAGCCCGAATGTCCACCGGCAGATGAATGGGTAAACTACTGGGGGTCTCAAAAAGGAATGAAGTTCTGCCATTTGTTCACAACGTGGGGGGACCTTGGGGTCATTCTGCTCAGTGGAAGAAGCCAAGCAGGAAGGGTCACGTGTTATACTGTTCCTGTTATTTTTCTTATTTTTTCCTATTTATTTATTTAATTGTTGTGCGGTTTACAGTTGTCCCCGTTTTTCCTCCGTTGCTCTCCCCTGCCCCCCCGCCCGGCCTGGCTCCCACAGTCAATCCGCACCCTGTTGTCCATGTCCATGGGTCCTTTATACATGTTCTTTGTGTATTATTCCTTTTAAATGAAATGTCTGGCCCTGGCAAGTGGGCAGGTGTGGCTCAGTGGATTGAGTACTGGCCTGCGGACTGAAAGGTCACCAGTTCAATTCCTGGCCAGGGCACATGCCTGGGTGGCGGGCTAGGTCCCCAGTTGGGGGCGCGCGAGAGGCAGCACATCTATCGGCTCTCTCTCGCCCGTGTTTTTCTCCCTCTCTTTCCCCGTCCTTTCCCCTCTCTCTCTCTCTCAAAAAAAAAAAAAAAAAAAAAAAAGGAAATACCATCTTTAAAAATTAAAATTAAAATAAAATAAATGTAATGTCTGGAATAGGCAAGTCCACAGAGACAGAAAGCAGATTAGCGGCTGTCAGCGGCCAACAGAGGGGAGAATGGGGCGTGATTACTTAATGGATACAGGGTGTTTTTCTGGGGTGATGGAAAAGTCTGAAACTGGAGCGAGGTGGCGGGTCTGCAACATTGGGAATGTACTAAATACGACTTAGAATCGTACAATTCAAAATGGCTAATTGTACGTTATGTGAACTTCACCTCCATTCAAAATAAGTACATAAAGCACCAGCCATGACTTCGAGGTTTAGGGGGCTCCTCTAGACTCGGAGAACACCTGGGTTACACCACCAGGTTAAGATGCCGGTGGAAAGATAACGAAAGGCACAAACTCCATGTAAGATCCTCCAGTGATCACATTTTAAAAAGTAAAAAGCAACAACTTG